AAGAATTCCCCCAAACACCTTCTCACTATTGAAAAAGTAACAAATACTGTTGATCATTTACATGATCAAATAATAAAAATGAAGCACTGAGAACTAAGCTTGAAGAATTAAACTTTCTTTCTCGAGTTTGCACTCTGGTTACACTCAATTGTTGTCACCTACTGCAAAGTTCCTTATACCTTCACGTTTAAATCCAAGCAAAGTTCCTTATACCTTCACGTTTAAATCCAAGTTAAATTAGTCGTTATAGCCTGGAATGGAAAATCCTTGATTTGCTTTTATTTCAGGATTTTGTCTAGTGTTTTGAAACTTCACTAATTTATTTTGAAACTCCCTGCATTCATGGGAAAGTTAAAAGGATGTTTTGGAACTTACAAATTAAGTTTTGGAACTATATGACAGATTGGAATATTTGATTTGGTAAATCTTCATATAAAGAAATCTGTCTTTAACCATGAAGGCTTAAATCTTGCAGACTTTGATAATACCATTGGGTGTAATATTCAAACATGGAAACCTAATTAAAGAAATTCTAGATGTGGTCTATATTCTTAAAATGGAATTTGTAACTTAGTCCGTGAACTTGTTTCCAAATATGAGTGTGAAAACCTTAAAAATCCGTAATTATTAAATTTGAAGACCTTTTTTTTATTTGAAAGTCATGTGCAGGTTTTATTTAAATTGAATATTCAATTTACACTTGATTTGGGTAATCATCAAATATTAGGAATAACATTCTCTTTTTTTGATGATGACAAAATTATGGTGTGAATGTGCAGAATTTTCAAAAATATCCCTTTGAATCAAAACAATTTGAAAAGCATATCTCGCCCTCAATCATATAATCCAACCAAGTAAAATCAATTATGATAAGTAACAAGATATTAAAGAGAGAGGTTTAGAGAGTCTCCCCCTTAATTCATGGCCCTTTCATGAGATGTACATTTCCATATAACACTTCTCCCCCTTTTTGTCATAATTAAAAAACCTGTATACATCAAAAATTAAGACTGCACAAACTTAAAATAATTAGCGCAGCAAGATATAGCAAAGTCATAATATACGTTAGACGAATAAACATAAGTGTCTAGTCCCTTAACTAAGAAAAAAATAAAGGCACCAAAACTACTTTTAATTAAGAAAGATTGAAAGATTTAATAAAATTTATGCATTCATTATAAAAAAAAAAAAAAAAGTGAAGACAAAGGACTTTAACTGATATTCACTTTCAAATTTTTTTAATTAAGTAAAAAGAAAAAACAAGTACCATAAAAAAGATGAAAGGGCACTGATAGGACACTAATGGTATATTCTTTGATTTCACACACTACACAATATATTTATTAAAAAAATTATTATTTTTTAGTTTAAAATTAAAAATAGACAAATTTAAATAAGCAACTGTTTACACCATAAATTATATTTTTAGTAATGCTACATATTAACGGATAAGGTGAGATTAGATCTACTGAAGGAATGTATATTTTCAAAAAATTGGTTGGGAGGATAAAAGTTATAGTTTGTTGCGGTTTGACTTTAAAAGAAATAGGAATCTCTAGAATCTAGGAGGAAGTTCGGTTGAGGAGTTATCCGTGATCTGAACAGCCAACAATGAAGTGGGGAGGTAGTTCATAGGAAATATAAAAGCTTTCAGGCTTTTCAATTGACACACGATCAGCCCTACACACAACCTGCAAATTTTCGGATTTTCAATTTCTTTGCAATTGCTCACTTTTGCTTATAGATTTCGAATTTCAGTACAATTCCCAATAGATTTAGGTTATTTGCAACATTCAAGTAGCCAAATTAGTTTGTGTAATTGCCTCTTTGATTTCCTTTCATGCAATAAACATCAAGTTTCCTCTAATTTGCATTTCATTCTGTTGATTGAGAATCACGGTATTAGTAAAATCCTTGAGATTGTTTAAGGTAGATTAACAACCCATTTTGCAGGAAGGCATCCTTCCCTCTTGCAAATCATCTTAAGGGCACAGAACTCAATCTTAAACCAACATTCTTCTAGCCATCCTAATTGAGGTCGATTGTGTGGAAGAAGATGGTTGTTGGGAAAATCCTTTCTTTTCTTGCCTTTCGCAAAAGTAAGTGATATGCTTGTATCCAGATTTCGCATGTGTAAAGCTACTTGAGGATTTTTGAGGAAACAATCTTTTTGTGGCGCACTCAGTGGTACCCCATCATGTCTCACTCATAGTTTCTAGATCCACTTTTTCTATATCTAAAAAGAGGTGTTGCTATGCCACCACAAGTTGAACAAGTAGATGACAACCCACTCCACTCTAAGAGAGAAAATGTTCCCATTACTTTCAAGGAGAAAGAGGCAGATCTGGGGGTGACTTTGCTGAATCAAATAATGTGATTAGAAGTTTGATTCAATGTCTGGAGTTAACATGCAAAAAGTAGACCTGGGTTATGCAGAAACTCGTCGAGAGTCAGGCAGAATCTTCTAGACATCATGTAAAGGTGATAAGGCAATATATGGTTAAACTGAGACGGGTTTTTGAGGAAAGCACTAAAGTAATGCAAGAAACTAAAGATGAAAGCCACAGAACATTGTAGGCTATTTCAGATCAGGTGGTTGAACAGGTGCGTCAACTTAGACCAAAAGTACCACTGCCAGTTTAGGTAGTAAATCCTTATAGGTAGATCCAGAATCCTCTGGCTTCAACACTCGGGGGGTAAGTCAATCAGCCATATCTACCTCCACAAAATCAATCAGCAATTGATGGGCCAATGAAGTTAGAACTAGTAGAGGTTGCACCACGTGTGGTAGATTTGAAAAATCAACAATAGTTGCAAGAAAAGATCGATAGAGGGATTTTGCGATTCTTAGAAAAGGCAAAGAAAACAATGGGAGTTGATGTAGACCCATTCCCTAACTTGTCCGTTGGAGTGAACGTGGCAGATCTTTAAAGCCTTATCAAAGACAAAAATCGATCATATTCCAAGTGTAAACTTACAACTGATGACTTGAGATGGGTCATTAAGGAGGCCATAACTTGAAAAGATTAGGCTAGATTAGATCCTCTAAGAAGAAGAAGGCACGAAGGGCATGATATGAAGCAACAGAAAACTGGTCCAAATTGGAGTGTTGTGAAATTTGGCTATGCAAAGCAGCCTAGGATGGTGAAACCACCGCTAAGATCTCCTAGCCAAAAATGGGAGCGTGTGGTTCATCCAAACCTCTTGAAGGCTCAGAATCCTAGAACGTTGAGGTGGCACTTATAATGCAAGAAAGTAGAAGATAGGCGTTGGCAACAGATGGAGAACTCGGGGGGTATGGCAGCTTTGGCTTAGCTGCTCCTAGTGAGAATGAAATCAATATGGGTCCCAAAAGGCAAAAGCGAGGCATGGAGTCAGACATCACAAGAAGATGAAAAATAGACTAAAAGTCCAACTTTTCCCCAAGTTCTAATTGTGGAGGTGAGGAAATTGGCTTGAGAGCAACATTCAAGGTGGTAGAAAAAGTAGAAAATTCAGCAAAGAAGCAACCCATCCATTTTGGTGAGCTTTCTATAAATTTGTCTTATTTGGTGCTTACCCTTCCTCTAGTCTTCGAAGCTAAAGGAGAACTAGAATCTACAGATTATCAACAAACGAATTAGGTTGAGGAAGGAACTATCGAGATCCCAAAAAAGGAGGATGAAGATGAGATTTTAATAGACAAAATTATTTTTGAGAAGCCAAAAGAGAGGATGACCAGACATATAAGGCCATTATACATTCATGCTCACATGGATGATATGCCAGTTAATTGAGTTTTGGTGGACAATGGTGCTGCTCTCAACATGTTGCCAACTTGCATGTTACACAAAATTGGCAAATCTTTGAAAGATTTGATGGAGACAAAAGTGACCATCAACAACTTCACTAGAGGAGTAAATTGCTTAAGGAGAATTCTGCCAATAGAGCTCATTATGGGAGATAAAACTCTCATGTGTGCATTTTTTATGTTTAACACTAGAGCCACTTATAATGCATTACTTGGGAGAAATTAATATTCTGGAATGGTTGCAGAACCGAGGTTGTGAAAGTTGATGATAAACCTTTTGTAGCTAACACTAACGTAATGGAGGCTTGTTACTATGATGAAGAAATTGGGACCATTCATTTCTTTGGGATGGACCGTAATGGCAGACTAATAGGAATTATTGCTACTACTAGATCAACACTTACTAGACGCATAATGAAGGAAATTTGTGATGAACTCCTTCACCCTACAGTAATTGTTCTTTTTAGCCTGAGGAGGAACCAAAAATTGAAGAGATTCCATGAAGAGACAACAAATTAGTCGCTAAAAGAAAAAGGCTGTGGAAGAAATCAAAAGGAAATTAGCGGCCTATCTGGTAGAAAAGCGAATCAGTGTGGACAGATCTAAGGTTGTCCACAAAGGTGAAAAGGAAGATCTAACGAATAAGGTTACTCTGGAGGAGTTAGATCTGGCTCCAGCCAAACTTGACGATCTGAAAGCAAAATTACAAGATCTGTTGAAGGAGGTAAATCTGGATACTTTGAATTCTAGTTGAGTTAGATTTGGGTGGAATTGTACAGTTCTTTCTCTTTCCTATTTAGCATTTTTTGAGTTTCAATAAAAGTGCTGATTTGAATTTGTAAGTTAGCCAGATTTGGTCATGAGTAATCATAGCAGTTAGATTATGATTGTGTTAGATTTCAACCTGCTGTAGATCAAATATGCAACAAAGGCTGTGAGAAAGGAAAGCTGATCTTTCATTTTGGAAACTGCATTTAAGTCTACCTCCATATTTGCAAGAAGTTTGCTGTACTATTTTGTCAAGCTCTTTTTTGTCTGCTCCACAAGGGGAATCTATTTGTTTGGTTCTGAAAGCTTGGCCTCAAGGTTTGAAATCTC